GTTCAGTGGTTAAGAGCACTGGATGCTCTTGCAGAGGACCTGCCTTCCAAGTGCTGGAACTAATGGCATGTGCCAGTATGTCCAGTGAAAGAAGCCACACAGAGGTTACTTCCTCCTGTCTCATTTGCCTGGCTTTCATCCAGTTTCTTGCCACACACCCCCAGTGTTTTCAAGATCACAGTTTTCTGTTATCTAACCCAGAGCTCAACCTTTGCTCTTCTTTCCTAAGAGCTCAGCAACACTCAGCAGGTGACCTCTTCCTCCTGGTTCTCATGGGACACACCCTATGGCTTCCCTCCAGCCTCTGGTGTCAGTTCCTCCTCTTTGCCCCACTCCCACCTCTTGCAGTTCCCCCAGTTGGTTTCTGGGCCACCCTTCTCTATACCTTCTGTTCTCATAAATCTCACCCAGTTTCTGAGCTTTAAATATTATTAATATGCTGAAACTCAAGTTTTATGGCTCAAGTTCGGGCTTGTCCGTGCTCTTTTATGTTTGTTGCTGACTCTGCCCCCTTAGAATCTTCACAGGCACCCCAAACACAACAGGCTCAAAACCAAGCTTCTGATTTCACTTTTGCCAAATTTGATTCTCTCCTTGTCCCTCACTCCATCTAACCCTGATGCCTCTTTTTCTGCCTTCTAAGTCTAGGCTACATTGAGCAGAGCTGCACAGTTGCAAAGGTCAAAAACATTATTCAAAAAGCATTATAAAAGCTTTTTGAAGTCCATGCATAGTAGAGATTAGTAGTCTGCTTGCTTCCCATAAAAACAGAACTCTAAAGGCCCTTCCATATCTTGCCTCAGGGGAGCCTCAAATCTGCCTCATCCAAGCCTCTGTGACTGCTTTCTCTGACTTGGTGACTCCCACACAGAACCCAGTGATATATCCTGGCCAACAGTACAACCTGCTAGGCATGTCCCCAGGTGCTAACAAATATTTGCCTTCTTCTTTCAATCTAGGCTCACCTTCCCTGAATCAAAACCAATTCAGAGGCAGGGGAAATACCCAGTATATATGACATGACAAAATCAAAGTAACTTGAAATGTCCTTTACTGCCCTGGGTTTACAACAGGTGGTTGAATATGCCTGGAACCACCTTGAAACCACCTGGAACCATGCCTTGAGAATGCAGTGAATGAATGACATCCCCAAGCCAAGCTTCTCTGGTGACTCTGGCTGTATGTATGTAGTGACCTAAGTACCATTTCACTCCTTGGAAGGCTGAAGGGAACCCAGGATGAGACCATTCTCTGCCACTGGCTGTGCTGCCCAGTGGGGACTCTGATCTTCCACAGTGAGACCAGTAAGCCCCAGCTATTTCCTCAGAAACACCAACAAGGTTCTAGTGGTTAGGTAGGCTTCTGCAGCACAGTTCACTTAAATGAGAAGGCACTGAAAAGGAATGTCCAGCTGCAAGGCCTGGCCTGTGGGGCCAAGCAACCAAATGATGCCTACTTCTCTATGAACAACCACTTCAACTGACTTGGTTTAAATCTACTCATCCTTTCAGCTAGTAAAGTCAGCTGGGCATTATTATCAAATAGACAGACAAATAAGAGATAGACAGGTAGACAGCCTGACAGATGAACAGATAAGACTGACAGATCTTTTTTTCTGGTAGGACTGAAACCAGGTTTCCTGTGTGTGCACTGCATCACCACTGAGTTACAACCCAGACCTTTTTATTTTCAGATAGGATCTTACTAAGTTGCCCAGGCTGACCTTGAACTTGTAATCCTGCCTCAGTCTCCCAAGCTGTTGGGTTACAGGTGTGCCACCACACATATAGCTGACAATACTATTTTCATTCTTAATATGCTTGCTACTGCCACCCAGGGAGATCAGAGAAACACATGTGAAAGAGAGGTTGTGCTCATTCCAAGTTGGGCCATATCCAAAAACTCTTGGAGCTTGGAGGCTGGAGGTGATAGAGGCCTGGGTGACAACCAGGATGGAGGAAGAGAGAGTAAAGAAGTACCACCAGAAGAAGGAGGGGAGGACAGAAAAGAGGTTCACAGGGAGGCAGCGGAGATGAGTGAATACAAAGTCAAGGCACTTGGTCAATATTAGACATCAGCAGAGCCAAGAGCTGGTCCTGGCCGGGCTCTCTGAAAGATGATCGAGGGTAATAGTTTGGTAGTCTCTCCTGGAATAGATGGGAAAATTATAAAAGAGTAAGATTCATTCCTATAACTCAGCAAGTCCTCAGGAATTATTCAAATATTAAGCATATATTTAAGTATGTTTCTAGAGAAGAGAGATGTTTTTATCTATTTCTGTCTCTTATCACCAAAGTCTTCAATACTGCATTTTCTACCACTGAAAAACCACTCAGTCCTTTCCATACAGGAAAAGTGCAGAAGGAGAAACGAGGAGTTAGACCCAGTGATGGTTTAAATGAGAATGCCCCCAACAAGCTCCAAGTACCTGGGCATTCTGTCCCTAGCTGGTGGTGCTGTTTTGGGAGGCTTTAGAAGTGTGGCCTTGCAGAAGGAAGCTTATCATTAGGGGCAAGTTTTGGGAGTTCTTAAGCCTTGCCAGATTTCCAGTCTCTCTCTCCTTCTTGTGTCTGCTTGAAGACATGACTGCTTGGCTTTCTGCTGAGGCTACCTCTTCCACCATGCCCCCCTGCCATGATGGACTCTAACCCTCTAGAATCATAAGCTAAATAAGCTCTTCCTTTTATAAGCTTCCTTGGTCATGGTGTTTTATCACAGCAATAGAAAAGTAACTAATATAGATGAGAAGGGGTGGCACATCAGATGAACCAGGGAAAGCTCTGGGACCTAGGGACAGCAGCTCTGCCACTCTGCTCTGGGTGTCCATTCATAGATGCTCCCCCCATGAGTAGAACTTCAGTCTCTGAGAAACCCACTGGTAAGAGTGAGGAGCCCAAGGGCACTGGGCATGTCCATTTTGTGACTTCAACATGAACCCTTGCCTCCACCTTCTCAGCAACTCCCAGTACTGTGGGTGACCCCAGGCTTAGAATACTACAGCTGGAGAAACCTGCTAGAATACCAGGTCTGTAGCGCACAGAGACAGAGAGAACATAAGGGAAGAAGAGAAAAGGCTTCAAAAGAAGGCAGGCCCGTTCAGCTGTGCCAGAGCCTTCCTTGAACTTTGGGAAAGTAAAATGCAATGGAGATGAGTCAGTGTGTAACCAATCAGCTAGTGCAGATCTCTCATTACTACATTTGTGGTAAACCCAGCAGGCAGCCAGTATTCCAGGGGATGAGGTCTGAGCCCAACAGTCCTCCCTCCAAAGAAACAGGCCTCAAAAAGGAAACAAACTGTCCAGCCTGCATGGTCAAGCTTAGAGAAGGCATTTCCAATAGAAGGTACTGATTTGGCCCCTGGAATTCCCAAGGGAACTGATTTCTCCCTCTGGATTTCCATATTAACACATCCCCACAGGTTATACAGGAAGGGAGAGCAAAGGTAGGGGGCTCCTGAGAGGGCCACCATTTATTGTGAAAAGGAAGAAGAAACAGATGACTAGAGAAATAGTCTGTGTTTCCTTCCTCCCCGCTCCATTTACAACGGCAGTAAAAAAGAGTCAGCCATGTCAGCAGAACATGCACTATTGCTCAGACAATCTCAGTCAATGGCAGATGAGATCAGATTCAAGAACATCCTCCTACCAAAGTCACCAAGCCACTCCAAACTTTGGGGGTGGGTGTTGTGGGTTTTGATGGACCATGCTGAGCTAAACCAGTGAACTTTGGAGCGAAGTGGGCCTTTCCTTTCAAAGAATTGGAATCTAAGCATTTATTTTAAATAAATACAAAATGGATACATGTAGCACTGGGCCACCAGGCAGATAAACTCCTTCTGAGAGCCACACCCGAAGGTTTAAAGCTCTTGAAAATGAAGAGAAAGCAGCTCCACTGTTCACCGTGCCAGAGGCTGGGACTTGTGTCCCCTCTACCATTCAAAGCACTATTGGACTACTGCTCCCAGAGGAAGGGAATGGGCCCCTAGGGGACTCCCATGCAAAGTCTAGAGGAGCTGGAGGAACCAGATACCTACTGTTGGTCTTCATGCACATCTATCCTGTAGCATAATGTCAAAACAAGGGACAACTGAAGAGATGTGGAACAGAGTCAGCACATTTCTCACAGGAGCAACGAGGAAAAGAGGCATCAATAGAAAGCCACCCCTTCCATCCATGTTCTGCAACCCCTCTTTAGTCCTCTCAAAGGCAGTCTGAGGAAGGGGGGCCTTACAACCACACCTGTTTTCATAAAAGCCTCGGGCTTGGCAAATTCAAGTCTCTGAACTGTTCAGTCATTGAAGGGGAGGCACCTATGTGTGTTGGGATTTCCTTGACAAAGTGGAGAGGCAGTGCCATGCACATGGAAGAAGGGCATCCAGGGCATGGCTCTAACAGAGCTACCAGCCCTGCTCTGATGTCCCCACTTGGAGTTCATACTCACCCGCGTCCTCTTCCCTCCCTCCCTCCCCAACCTTCAAACCATAGGAAAAACAAGAGAGGTAAAAAGGAAGCAAAAAGAACAAATTCTCATTCTTTTATTTTAAAAAGGTATTTCAATTCTAGTTTGTATTTTTGAGTGTGTGTGTGTGTGTGTGTGTGTGTGTGTGTACACACCTGGGGTGGATGTATCAGGTGTCTTCCTCTATCACTGTCTACTTTAGTTTTTGACTCAGGGTCTCTCACTGAACCTAGAGCTCACTGTTTAGGCTATGCTGACTGGCCAGTGGGTACTTGGCATTCACCTGATCCCTGACCCCAGCAAAGGGATAAAAGCATACACTGTTATGCCTGGCTTATATGTGGGCTCTGGGGATCTGAATTTAGCTCCTCATGCTTTTGCAACAAGCACTTTACCCACTGAGCCATCTCACCAGCCCTGTGGTTCATACTTAAAATTGCCTTGTTATAATAACCAACCTGAAGATAGCATATTATAAAGCTACCTATTTTCCTTCTTTAGGAAGTGGATTAAAAACAAAAACAAAAACAAAGAAAGCTTACCCGTTTTTGAAATAGAGGACATGGGCTCTCTGAAGTCCTGTTTCTAGGAAAAAACCTAGTTCTTGATCGTGGGGAGCAGGGCCAGGCTTAGGGCTTCTGTTCTGAATATTAGTTAATATTACCTAGAAGGGGAAAGAATTGGAAAACTAATCAGATACAGATCAATGTCTACTTCCTTCAAACCTAGCTCCAAATACACTGTATGAATTGAACAATCGGCTTCCTTTAGCCAAGCAGAGCCTGCACAGGTGCACTGAGTAGAAGTATCAGGAGTGGAGAAGAAGACCTCCTTCACACAAGGCCAGGCAGCCCCGCAGCATACTGGCTGTGAGAACTGAGGTACAAGTGGCATTCTCAGGGCATGGTGCCAGGAGAGCACCAAGCATGGAGTACCTCAGATAAATCTTTAGTTATATTTTTTACAAAGAAAAAGAATAGGGTGCCAACCCATCAGGTGAAAGACTTACAAGCTGAGTTCCTTGGAGTGATGTAAACACGTATCAGCTACTCTTTTTAATAGTCAATACAAATAAAACATTTCTCAGACAGAAACATACTCATGATACATGTAAAAACCAAAAAGGTACTGTCCAAACATGCTGCCCACATTTTCTGAAAGTCAACAGCTCTTTAAAAGATCCAGACCCAAATTACTACAGGTTTTGAAATTACTCTTCAAAGAGAATCAAAGCAACTGCTGGTTCTTGAGCCTGTATACTTTCCTTTGAGGGCAAAGGATAGAAAGTGGTATATAGTGAGCCCACACTGAAGAAATAAATCCAGGCAGGCAACCTGTGCATCTATACCTCAACCTACATCTTATCAACAGTCCCTGGCTTCTTCCCCCCCCCGTCCCACCCTCAATAATGCTCCTCCCCAAAGGGACCTCCATCTCCACTCCACAGAGGCTTTTCCTCCTTGTGTGGGTCAAATGTTGGAAATGCAGAGCCATGTTCTGGATACTGTTCCATCCTCGCTTACATCTATCTTGAGATGACATCATCCATTCCTGTGCACTTCAAAACTCCTGGACAAGCAGCCAGTTCCCCACTTTAATCTCTAGTCCAGATCTCCCCCTGATTTCCAGACTCATTTCCATACTTGAAGGTCCCACACAGAAATGTTTCAAAATTACTTTTCACTTTCTTTTGGCCATAACCTTTACTTTTGAAATGCTATATTATTCTTAAGCAAAAATAATGCAGTACCACCCAAAGAAAATTAAGCTACTTCACAATTCTACCACAGAAGTGGTTTCCACAGTGTAGTGGTTATCACGTTCGTATCACACAATGCTACCACAGAGAAATAACCACAGTTAACATCTAGTGATTAAGAATCAGTGTACATGTGTACCAACCAGAAACAGAAATCATCCTACAAAAAGATGACTTATAATGCTAGCTTTACATTTAAGCTATTGCATTTAATTTAGTTAAATTTGACAAAAGTAACTAAAGTATAACCAAAGTAACCATTAGATTCAGAAATTTCTGTTCTAGTAGTGGGGCCTGAGCTCAGCTTCTATACATGCTAGGCAAGCACTCTACCACCAAGCTACATGTCCAGTCCTAGAGAAAATTATTTTATTCACCATAATTCATTAACAGTCCCTCTGAAGTTAAATACTGTTTATTGATTTTTATGTGAATTAGTATGTGTATATAAAAAAGGCATATGTACAAAGAGAAAGGCAATTTTTTTAATGTGTATGCGTGTATTGCCTACATGTAGGCAAGTGCACCCGTGTCGTGCAATGCCCGTGGAGGACAGAAAAGGCTGTCGGATCCCCTGGGACTGGAGTTACAGACAGTTGTTAGCTGCCATGTGGGTGCTGGGATTCAAACTCAGATCTTCTGCAACAACCAGTGTTCTTAACAGTTGAGCCTCCAGCCCTGCAAAATTATTATTTACACCTATTTTAACTTTATATGGTAACTAGTGACATATGATACAGATGGTGAAATTAATACATTCATACTTTCTATTTTGTCTTTTCCTTCAACAATTTTATCACATTACTAGTTTTATTTAATTCTTTTTTAAATTACTTATTTATTTATTTTTGGTATTTTTGAGACAGGGTTTCCCTGTAGCACTAGCAGGTCTGGAACACACCATGTAGACCAGGCTGGCCTTGATCTCACAGAAATCTACCTGCCTCTGCCTCCCGAGTACTGGGGCCACCACACCTAGCTAACATTATTATTTTTATATTTAAGTTTCCCACTTTTGTTATGTCACTATTTTTATATTGCCATGTAAACATATATGCTTTATATATATACTGGTATATTTAGCTACAGTTGTTTTCTTTTTCAGGAATACTAATTGTGCCAAGCATGGTGGTACACACCTTTAATCCCAGCACTCAGGAGACAGAATCTCTGTGTGTTCAAGGTCTGGTCTACATAGTGGTTTTAGGCCAGCCAGGGCTACATAGTGAGACTCTACAAGATAGTGTCATCTAGACATGACAGGGATACTACACCATAAAACCTTGACAATAACTGTGCAAACAAGATTTGCATAATGACCATACTAGTCAATGTGTCAACATGGTTGGGAGAAATTTCAAGGGCCCCACCCCTACATGAAGAGCTACAGGAAATCAATGGCTATTAACACAAGGAGAATCTGTTTTTTCCAGGGACAAGCCTCCTGACAGGTTATCCAGTCTCAAGTAGTTCAGCCCTAAACAGGCGTCAGCACTTGTCCAAAGCATGGAACACAGTATAAACGGCACTCGGTTGTCATTTCTTCCTGGAGCTCACCCTTCTCCTTTCTCTGGATTCAGAATTGTCTGAGTGCTCCCTCATCAAAGTGCTCCCCATACTGGTTTTAGGCAAGAGTCCTCATGAGGTGGTAAGTTTCTTATGGGTATGCTCTGCAGCTTATTCATTAAGGCGCTCCTGGTGCCATGCAGTCTCAAGAATATAGTAGGCTGGGGACTAGAGAGATAATTCAGCAGTTCAGAGCGCTGGCTGCTCTTGCTAAGGACCGAGGTTCAGTTCCCAGAACCCATGTGGTGGCTAACAATCTGATGTCCTCTTCTTGCCTCCATGGGTATTGCATAACAAGAGTTCACTTACATACATGCAGGAAACACACTCATACACACAAAATAAATTAAAAAATTTAAAATACAGTAGGTACTCAATAAATATTTATGAAAGTGAAATAAAATCATAAGCACTCTCACATGTGCAAACACCATGGAAAATGATCATATCTACACAACAACAAAAGTGGAAAAGACCTGGGAATAAAATAAGCCTGCTGAAATATGTCTGAGAAAGCCGCACAGTGATGCATGTCTGTAATCTCAACAGACAGGAGGCTGAGGCAAGAGGATCTCCAGATCTGCCTGGGTCACACAGTGAAACACTGTCTTGACAAATGGGAAGAGGATAATAAGCAAAGACAAAAAATAATTCATCAAATTATTTTTTCTTGAATTTAGAAAATCATTCTAAAATGTATGAAAGAATGAAGAGAAACAGTTAAAGGATAGTTGAAAACAGAAATAACAATGACTAATTCTTAGATGTTCAAACCTATCCTAACACAGTGCTTATTAAACAGTGCGGCAACAGCATTACATAAGATAAGTGGGACAAAACAGGGAAAACAAAACACACTACAGCAGCTAAAATTGCAGACTACTTGAAAGGAAGATAAGATCAACTTAAAGAAACACTGAAAATGCCCAACAACAACAACAAAAAAACTTAGTCATATCTAATATCATATATCGAAATCAACCGCAATCTAGATTTGAGGTTGATTTTTTTTAATATGGAATTTTTTAATTCAAAAATGTTATTTAATATGGAAGAGTGGAACCTTTTCAAATCCTAGGGGCAGGCTATTCCAACATTCAAGTTTTAACAATAATAAAACAAAATACAGGGCCTGGAGAGATGGCTCAGCGGCAAAGAATGGGTACTGCTCTTGCAGAGGACTTGAGTTGGGTTGCTAGCACCAATGTGGGGGTGGCTCGCAACCACCTGTAATTCCAGTTCTAGGGGACCTGATGCCTTATTAATAATAAAAAATGTGAACTAAACATAGAAGACACTATTTTTCACCTAGAAAATATCTTTCAACAACTTTCCAAGATTGCAAAGCAATACCTAATCTCCTGTACTGCTTAAGTTGGAAGATGTCAGTGTGACTACTGGACCGAGTACATGGTAACAAGAAGGGTAAAAATATCTCCACTTCTGGGAATTTGCTCTTAAGAAATAACATAAAGCAAGGGGAAAAGCTGACTCAAGGAAGGCAACAAGCTAGATCCAACAGTAAGTCAGCTATATCAGAAGCTGTCCACTTGAAATAATACGTAAAGGCAATGTAAGGGTTAATATTAAGGGAAAACAAGACATATATCATACACTTAATGTTTTGAGGGTTATAAAGACATTACAACAAATACACAAAAATGGATGTGACTACTCTTTCCTGGTTACTAGACTTTTCTGAAGTTCTAAGTATTTTAGACTCCAGTTCCAGCTAGTCAGAGGACAGGCTCAAAGTCAAGGATGCTGGAGCAGAGGCTAGAACTTGGCCGGTGCACCTCTGTAAGGAAGCGTTTCTTCAGATGTTCCACCCTGTGATCTGAACTGGGACTCACAGATACTGCTTGAATGAGAAGCTGGGCACTGGACAGAGGACAGCAGGGAGCAGCCAGTCTCTTCACTTTCTATATTTGAAAGCCACAAATGCACCACTTAGACCTCTCAACTGAAGCCCTGCCTTTCCCAGCAGTACCTGGCTTGAATTCTGAACACACAATGACCTTAATCTGATCCAGCTTTGGATCCATTCCATAGCTGTGCCATTCAAGGTCCCTTGCTGGAAGGCCATCATAAACTCAAGACATGATCCTACAGCCTGTGAGCATCTCACTGAGGAAGAGAAGGAATCTGGGCTGGGCTCTCAATACTTGGGAACTTGGTGTTTATTCTTAGAACTTTAGAACTAAAATCTCCCATAGAAAGTTACAAATGCCCTGTGATTTAGCTGTAGCTTCTTTTCTAAAATTGGGTGTGAAAAAATGAACTGTCAGCAGAAGGTAGAGTTTCACCCTGACCCTGCTCGTGCTCAGGAACGCCACCCCCAGCTGGTCAGCTGGTGGATGCAGAGACCAGATACAGGGTGACTTCATGTGCCAAATGCGGGGCTCAGATTATGAGAGCCAGGATGAAGTCATCTTTATTCATACCACTGCACCACCAGAAGAGCCTTGCAGGGCAGAAAACTTGATTCACTACTGGCATAACACTATCTGAAGATAAACTAATCAAGGTTACCCTATGCCACTGTTAATGTTATCTGCTCAGATTTCGTTTGTTTTATCAAATTTTTCTCACACACAGGATTTGTTATATTTTGCTCCCTTTCAGAAAACTCTGAGAGAACATCATTAATCAATGTCTCTGTGACCCTAACTTAATAAGGACAACACTAAACAAACATTCAATGAACACAGCTTTTACTGGTCTCTCCCTGGCCTGTCTCCATATTTGGAAAGAAAAGGAAGGATGACCCAGGGCCAGCTCCTAGCACACGGCCTGGTATGCATGGACCTCAGTAAAGGATGGCTCTCTAGGCCTATGAAACTAGACAACTCAGGTACACTGGTTCTACCATGAAACAGAAAGTTGAAGCATAAGAAATAAATGAGAAGACCATGGTCAGACAATCAAGAGTGAACAGCAATCCAGAACCCAGAAGCAGGAACAAGAGGCTTCTGCAGAGACAGGGCAATTAGACACTTTTGAATGCTTCATAAACATTCCTCTAAAAAATTCTTTTACATTCCTAATAAAACAGGATGCCTGTAATATTCCAGATTTTTATCCAGCTATTTGGATTTTTCAAAGGTGAAGAAAGACTCCATAACTATGTGACAGAGAACAGATAATGATCACCACATAGCATCTGCTATGTGCTAACAATGCACGGGGTATACATGAGTTAGCCATGCTATCACCATAGGCGCTACATGGCATTGCTGTTGTTATTTTATAGATGAGGCTCCTGAATACAAGGTTAAGGGACTTTCCTCAAAGTTCAACAGCTAAGAGGTGACTTGATCAGGATTCCAATACCAGCTCACTCTGCATTCCTGCTGCTTCTCACAGTTAAGTCAGTAGCCTCATAGGGAAGTCAAGGTCAGCCTCCTTTCAGAAAGGTCACTGTCCTTTTGCACAAACAGCTCCAACATGGGTGAACAAAAAGATTAACTATAGAGAAATTCAGAGAATGGTGGAGCCTCAGATTTGGAAAAACATTAGTCATGATACTAAACTGACCTCAATAGTTCTCTAAAACCTTTATTTTTGCTAATGAATGAAGAGCCAATGCTCATAAACAAAATGCCAGAAGATCCTGGAAAATGGCATCTTCCTCACCTCACAGTGGCAGAACAGGGGAAAGTCACTGTGCTTGACCTCGGACCAGCAGCCAACACGGGAAGAACACATGGGACTTTCTACTTACCAGAACTGCTCACGAAGAAAGACACTATTTGTCCCAGGCTTGCCCAAGGCTTTTACTTTAGATTCTATTTCTCTAACATTTCCGTTTTCAATTGAGCATAATTTTTTAAAAGTTCAAAATTAAGTCAACTGAGTTCAAAATTTAAAAACAAGTAAGGCCTATCAGGTATCTTCTGCATAGCACATAGTTAGTTGAACTTCTACCAAGTGCATGGGACACTAAAGGAAGGTTATCTTTCCCAGTCTCCAGATTGACCAACACAAAATTTCTTGAGTACCTACTATAGTCAAACATATGTTTGGCTCACTCAACCTCTCTCATGGTAAATACTTAGCCTGCTGAAGTCTGGGTAGGCCCAAAATTTCCATAAAGGAAAACTCATTGTGAAAATTCAGAGCCAGAAACAGGTTAAGTCATGCAGATAAGTTTGACAGGTCCAGCTGAAGAGTCTAGCAGTGACTGGGGACTTACAAGTGAACCCAACAGAAAGTAAATCTGATTTGTCAATTCCTATAGCACTGAAGACACATGTAACCTGTGAACCTCTTTCTCCCTGTCAGGAAAAGGCAGCTCCAAGGTGATAGGGCTGAACAACAACTGGAGAGTAAGCTGAGAAATAAAGGTCCCTGAGTGGGCCTGGATGTGTGGTCGCCAGGAGCAGCTCTATTGGGAGCTGAGTTCTCCACTGCCAAGTGCTGGCCATTGCTGACAGGCAGGGAAAGGACTGCTGGTTTCAAAATCAGCCTGCATGATCATTTCTGTAAAGATCATTATAATTCTGAACAACAGCAACAAAATGCACTCCTCATAAATCCTGATAGAATGACATGTTGGCCAGAGTCAGATACCTTCTGGAGCTCTAATACTGTGGACCACGTCTTACAGCCCACAGTTAAGGCCAGGTCAAATGATCCTCCACTGCTCTTGCCACTCTTCAGGCTCTGTGATTCTCACTCTGCTTTGCCCATAGCCACAAACACACCATAAAATGGTTCTTATAAAAACTGCTTCCCATTTGTACATGTAAAGGTAAAAGCTAGCAAGGCTTAGGTAGTCCCTCTATATCCTAATCACTATGCGAAAATGGGACTCAGAAAATTTATGGAAAATACACCTTCTGATCATGTTTGGGTCTTGCAGGATTGGTAATCATTTCCAACAACCCCACAGGTACATACCTGAACTTGAGGGGGTCAAAGTCAGAAGAGTCCTGCCTACAGCAGAAACTGCTAGGAGCTACTGTCATCACAAGTAAGTGACGTTTACCAAGAAATCAATATGTTCCTGGATCTAGGCTAAGTGCCTTTATTCACATGACCTAAGTTTCCTCAAGAAGAACTCCATGAAACAGGAACTATTTTTATGAGCTTTTTATAGATGGGAAGAATTAACGCTGAGACTTGGAGGAACTTAATACAGAACAGAAAGGAGAGATAAAGATCCTTCTGAACAGATAAGGTGTCCACCCAGCCCTGGCCCCATCTAGCCTCTGCCTCTTCTGCCTGGTGGTGTGGACCCAGGGCTTCCTGCTCACTCAGCCTCTGCTCATACGGCATTCTTGTCAGTTGCTAGTCTTCCTTCCCCACGTACAGACCATCCATTTGACTGCCAGGACCTCCCCAGATGGCCTGGGGAGACACACAACCTACTCCAAACAGGATCAAGTTCTCAAAAGACCTTTGCCATATCATCAAGGGAAAGCCTCCCAAACCCCAGATGAACACCTGATGGCATGCAGATCACATCACACAAAGATATGTGGATTTCAATCCAGGAGAACAAGAGTGACTAGACAGTTCCAGTGTGCTGAGGGTATACACAGCCTCTTATTATTACATCTGTGTACACACACTGACCTATTTTCACAGGGTACACCTATGACCATTTAGGAATGCATGCAGAGCTTTGTATCCAGAAGCAGACAAGTCAAACGCTTTCCAGAAGTTGGCTACAGTTGCCTACAATCTGATTAGGGAAAAATAAAAAGTTGTCAGTTGGAATGAACACACGGTCCTCACTTACCCTTTCTATCTCTTGGAGGTACAAGAGTGCGATGTCCCCAGCTTTCTCGTAGCAGGTGATGACGTCCTGTTCCCGGTCCACATGGAGATTACTGGTAGAAGATGAAATAGGCAGCTTCTCTAAACACAGTCCTAAAAACAAAGCAAACACACAGAAACTGGATAAGTTGTTTTTCACAGGACTCAATTCTGAAGAACTGCTCTAGGAGCCAAAAATAGTCTAGGCTATAAGGGGCTAACAGAGAAGCAAATTCCCCTGCCTTCTGTCCTCTTTTTGTAAGATAAAATGGATCATCTGAATGCACCACCAAAAGGAATATTCAAAATTTACAAAAGAAAGCCACCCACATCATTGAAGGGTCTATCTTATCTTGATATTTGGCTTGACTGTGACCCTTCACCACAAGCTCATTCAGTCCTAAAGAGTATGTGGTTGATTTTATGTGTCAACATGACAGGGCCACAGAATGCCAGGGCATTTGGGCAAAGATTATTCTGGGTAAATCTATTAGGGCGTTTGTGGATAAGATTAACATTTGGATCCAGTCAGCTGATGACCTGAATAGAACAAAAGAGTTGAAAGAGGAAAGTGTGGTCATTTTCTGCCTTTGGCTTAAAGTGAAACAATGGCTCCTCCAGGCCTGAAGTCTGCCAACTTTCAGAATGGACCTTACACCACTGGGTCTTCAGATTCCCAGGCCTTCTAAGCTCTCCTGGGGGCTCTATCATGCCTACTGAAGAACTTGTCTCTATTGATTCTATTCCTCTGGGAGACCTGTGCTAGCATAGGACCCCTCACTCAAATATGCCCCACATTCTTTTTTTAAGAATGTGGATGAGTGTATTACCTGCATGTATGTGAGTGCACCCGTGTTGTGCAATGCCGCAAAGGTCAGAAGAGGACTTCAGAATCCCCTGGAACTGGAGTTAAGGATGGTTCATAGCTGCCATGTGGGTGCTGGGAATCGAACCCGGGTCCTCTGCAAGACCAGTCAGTGCTCTTAACCACTGAGCCATCTCTCCAGCCCTTGCCCCACATTCTTAAAGAATTTTTGAAAATAAACAGAGTTGCCAGCTCAAGTTTAGATCTTAAGTGTCTCCAAAGGCCCTTACACTAAAGGCCTGATCCCCAAGGTGGCACCACTGGGGAGGTGTGCAACATTTTTCTTCTTTTTCTTTTTCTTTTTTTTTTTTTTGAGAAAGGGTCTCCCTGTAGCCCCAGTTGGCCTGGAACTCAATATGTAGATCATGCTGGCCTTGAACTCAATGAGATCCACCTGTCAGAGCCTCCAGAGCACTGGGATTAAAGGCGTGAGCCACCACGCCCAACCTAGAATCTGTAGAACTTTTAAGTGAGGGAGGGGGAATAGTGTTGAGTCTTCAAGTCACTGGGCATCCCTTGGAAGGGCACTGCAGATTCAGCCCCTTCCTCCTCCTCTCCAGATTCTCAATCAGAGAGGAGTGGTTTTGCTCCATCATGCACTCCTGCCATGGTTTGCTTCCTCTCCAAAAGCCCCAAAGCAACAGGGCTGCTCAATTATAGATGGAAACCACCAAAACTATGACCCACAATAACTGTCCCATTGGTTATCTTGGGTTCTTTATGACAGTTATAGAGAGCAGGCTAACACTGACCAAGTCCAATAGGAACAAAAAGCATCTTCAACCCTAAAACACATGCTTAATCAACTAAACACACAAGTTTTCAAATGCCAGCCTATTTAAAATTCAGGGAGAGAGTTAAATTGGAAGGGGCCAAAAAGATGATTTCCTAGTTCAAACCACTCATTTTACGGCTGAAGCTGAGACCTGCCACGGTAAAGAAAATGACTTGCATCAAATCTGGAAATTAATGGCACAAAAGAATCAAATCCAGTTCTTCAGTCTCCTAGCTGACTCTCATCATGTTAGTGCTGATGTTCAAAGTGGGCATTGTTACAGAAAGGGGATCAGATACATTAAGCATCAGGAAAAAAAACATAACCTCATGTGCACCATCTTTGCAGAATGGCTTCATCCATTTTGCTCTCAGCAAACAGAGAAAATCCCTCCATGCTGTAGAAAGCCACAGGAGATGGCTTTGCTGCATCAATAGGACAGCCACTTGTATTCCAGTGTTGACCGATTCATTCCTGCCCTCCTGGCTACCACAAACCTGCCAACTGTCTCTAAGGTTTTGTCTTTTCCATAATACCACATAGCAAGAGTCACACAGTCCTCAGGCCTTATGGCATGGCTTCTCTTTGTGACTTTTTTTGTGTGTGTTTATGGGTGTATTGCTTGCATGTATATGTGCACCTGTGTCATGCAATGCCCACAGAGGTCAGAAGAGGGTATCAGATCCTTCAGAACTGGAGTTACAGATGGTTGTTAGCTGCCACATTGGTAGGTGCTGGGAACTGAACCTGAGTCCTCTTCTAGAGCAGTCAGTGCTCTTAACCACTAAGCCATCTCTCTAGCCCCCTCTTCGTGATTTTTCATGGCTTGTTAGTTCTTTTCTTTCTTTCATTAACTAATATTCCACTTACCTATCCATCTATTAAAGAGTACCTTGATTGCTAGTTTTGAATGTCAGATTGGTTACAAACATTCATGTGTGGGTTTTTACATACATTTTCAACTCAGTTTAATAAATATGAAGATGTAGCAGGGCATAGTGGCACATGCCTTTAAACCCAGCACTTGGGAGGCAGGCACTGTAAGATCAAGAAGAGACTGGGATGGTCTACATAGTGAGCTCCAGACCAACTGGGGCTACATAGTGAGACCTTGTCTTAAAAATAGTAACAACAGCTGGGCATGGTGGTGCACACCTGTAGTCCCAGCAGTTGGGAGGCAGAGGCGGGCGGATCTCTGTGAGTTCAAGGCCAGCCTGGTCTACATAGTAAGGTCCAGGACAGCTGGGGCTTACAGGGAGACCCTGCTTCAAAAAGACCCCCCCAAAAACAAACAAACAAAAAACAGTAACAACAAATATCTAAATAAAAATTTATTGATGCTCTCCCGGCCCTCTCTCCTGCCCTCAGGCCTCTCTTGGGGGTAAGTCTATCACACAGCCCTCAGCGCCTGGACTCCCCCAGCCGCGTTCACCCTTCCATCTCCCCCGCTGTTCTCTACTCCTAGCTTGGGCCCTGTGCCATTCCTAGTCTTGGGGCCCCAGACACCTGGGGAACCAACACTGCTTCCTGATCCTTTTCACCTAGACCAACTTAGTGCCTTCCTTGGGCTCCAAGAGCACTGCGTCTGGACCTGGCACCACCCTCACCTCTCTCTGCTTCCCAGAACCTGCACCACCGGCTAACTCTCCTAACCTGCTCTCCTATCCTCAGGCCACTTGGGCCAAGTCTATCGCAGAGCCCTCCGCGCCTTGACTCCCCCAACCTCATTCACCCTTCCATCTCCCCCACTGTTCTCTACTCCTAGTTTGGGCACTGCACCATTCCTAGTTTTG